ACAGTTCTGTCTGTCATTCACGCTCGCCCGTTGTTGTATACATACAGCGTGTCGCATGCACCGCGGCTGCTGGTTATGAAGCGCCTGATGAACCTGGGCCAGAAGCTTCCTCAGGAGCTGAAACCTGTGGCGGCAGGGTCTGGCTTTGGCCTGCTTCACCCTCTACGTTTGCTTATTCTGATGGGAACAAATACCATCACAAGATGCATCCTGGCCGTAATTCTTGGCGTGACGAATGGGTTTTTGACTCACAGGAAACTGTAAGGAAATAGTGTTTCTGCTCATTTGGTGCTGATGTTTTCTCTAAGAGTCTTGTGGTAAAATGAGGAGCAGGTGTGTGAGCAAGAAACAGCTTTGAAACTTTTGATACTCTAGGTGGGAAAAGCAGACTTAAAGTGATTGTATTGGGTTTGTGTGGCAAGGTTTTGGTAGCAGGGGAGTTACAGGGGTGGCTTCTGTGAGAAGATGCCAGAAGCTTCCCCCATGTCTGACAGAGCCGATGCCAGCCGTGGCTCCAAGATGGACCCGCCGCTGGCCAAGGCCGAGCCCATCAGCGATGGTGATAGTGCCTCTGGGAGAACAGAGTTAAGAAGGGAAAAAAGTTGCTGTGGAACAGCAACTGCAGCCAGAGAAGACGAGTGAAAACGTGTGAGAGAACCAGCCCTGCAGCCCCCCAGGTCAGCACAGAAGGAGGGGAGGAGATGCTCCAGGCGCCGGAGCAGAGATCCCCCTGCAGCCTGTGGGGAAGACCACGGTGAGGCAGGCTGTCCCCCTGCAGCCCAGGGAGGTCCACAGGGGAGCAGGGGGATGCCTAAAGGAGGCTGTGGCTCCACGGAGAACCCACACTGGAGCAGGCTCCTGGCAGGACCTGCAGCCCTGTGGAGAGAGAAGCCCACACCAGAGCAGGTTTGCTGTCAGGACTGGTGACCCCGCGGGGGACTCACGCTGGAGCGGTCTGTGCCTGAAGGACTGCAGCCCGGGGAAGGGACCCACGATGGAGAATTTTGTGGAGGGCTGTCTCCTGTGGGAGGGACCCCACGGTGGAGCAGGGGAAGAGTGTGATGAGTCCTCCTCACCCTGAGGAGGAAGGAGCGCCAGAGACGAGGTGTAAGGAACTGACCCCAACCCCCATTCCCCGTCCCCCTGCACTGCTGGCAGGGAGGAGGTAGAGAAAATCAGGAGTAAAGTTAAGCCCAAGGAAGAAGGGGGAGTGGTGGGGGGAAGGTATTTTTAAGACTTAGTTTTTATTTCTCATTACCCTACTCTGATTTGATTGGTGATAATTAATTTAATTTTCTCCAAGTCGAGTCTGTTTTGCCTATGATGGTAATTGGTGAGTGATCTCTCCCTGTCCTTGTCTCGACCCACAAGCCTTTCATTCTATTTTCTCTCCCCTGCCCAGCTGAGGAGGGCAGTGATGCAGCGGCTTTGGTGGGCACCTGGCCTCCAGCCAGGGTCAACCCACCACAGTGATGTTCGTTGTAATGATGTTTTGTGCTAGAGTTTTTCCCCTTTGGTCCTGTAAATTTTATATAGGAAAGATCCCAGGAGAGTATCAGTGCCAATACTGGCAAGTTTTTAGAGGCTTTCTTAAACCTCTTATTTTACAGAAATCTATGAAGTTTCTGGCTGGTCTGTCCTTTTCTAGCCTAAGCCTTTCCTAAGAAATCCAGCAATTTTCCACTTGAAAATAGCTATGGGTAAAGTCACACACTACTTTCACATAAGATTAAGGGTTTGACAAGGGTAGTGGGAACAAAGAAATTCCAAATTAAGTCTGCTCCGTATTTAAACCCCCCTCTCCCAGCCCCCTGTTGCACAATAGCAAGCTTTCCTAATGCAAGTAGGTTGTTGATATACTTCCAAAAAGAATTCCAGTTAGCTGAGAGATGGGATTAAATGGATTAAATAGCCTCCTCATTTTTCAGTGAAAAAAAAAAGGAGTTCAGTCGAAGGCATGTACAAATGCGAACTTTAATGATTTTGGACTAGATTGGCTTTCCAAACAACCTCAGATTGCCTTGCAAATTAGCGTGCCCATTCTTGGCGAGGCCCTGCGTGTTGGTGGTGGGTGTGTGTGCATGCTGACACGCGTGTGCGGGGTGGTGGGCGCATGGAGTTTGCGCTGTAGCTGCAGCGGTCATGGGCCAGGAGGTAGGCTATCAGTTGGGTAGAAAAACTGCAAAGAATATAAAACAGCATAGAGTGCTCAGTGGCCGGTCTGTTCCCATTTAGTGCAAAACTGGTGTGCCCTACTCAGCCAGACCCAAGCCCTGGGAGAGCCCAAGAATTTCCAGCCCACCAGCCTGCTCTTACGGTAGCGGTTTTGGTGGCCTCTTCCATTTTGCTGCCGTGTTGTGTGATTACTAGGTGTTACCTTTTCTTCCTCAGCACAGATACTTGACATGGTATGAAAACCGACTTTCTCCTCCTTTTAGGTCTTCTCGTGGACTTCTTTTCCTAAGAATTTATAAGGCATCAGCTTTGTACAAAGTACATACAGATTCTCCCTAACTTACTCTTCCTCATAACGAAAGCTGATTTCTCCTCAACGCTGCATATCACGTCTTGCTTTCATTTTTCTGATCCCCGAAGACAGGAAATAGCAATATGAAGCTCCACGCCAAGGTCTGTCAGCAGCTGATAACTTTATGTGTGGCAGATAATTACCGGAGTCATGACTTGTATGTGGACAGCCTGACTCCATAGCAAAGCTGTCTTCATCTTGGTTGTTTCACGGCGTCCTTTGTAATTCTTTGTCCTGTGAAACTTATTGGCCACTTGTTCAAGCAGCAGCAGTAGTGGTTTTTTCATTTGTTACTAATTTTTCACCTAAAGACCCATTCTGTTGTTGGAAAGATACAGATACTACCATATACTTAGCGTAGTATTGATAATGAAAACAAAAATAAAAAAGATGGTGGGAGCGGTTGGGGGGGCAAGATTAATGGTAGCAGATGAAAATTGTCAGGAATCCCTAAAACCTTTTTTGGCTTCTTTCTAAGGACCACTAATTTGCCTTAACCTATTGCTGTTATGAAGAGTCACATCCAAGAGACTGAAGGCTAATGCATCCCAGATCTCATGCAGCCAGTCTAACTGGTCTTAAGTATAAGCAGTGGAATAATTTTGTATTGTGTGGATGTTTTCCCTGTTAAACCAGACTTCTTGCTGTCTTTGATTTCTATATTAATTTGGAAAGCATGTGCCAAGAGTAAAATTTGTTTCACATTTGTTTCAAATTCAAATTAAATCCCTTCACCCCCAACCAAAGAATTTGCAAGGAAAAAAAAAGGGGGGGGATTGGTGACCTTATCATGACTGGATCTCATCCTGATGAAGGGCCAAATCTTTTTAGCATTGAAAGGAAGTAAAAGCAAGAATTAAGAACTTTCTCTGATTACCGCTGGGATAGCAGTGTTCTCCTCTTTCCTCTACCTGCAAGGAAATGCTTCAAAGCAGCCATTTATTCAGGCAGTGTAATTCTTATCTCTTTTTACTGTCTGGCTTACATCTTTTATTTTACCTTAACACTTGGGCCTGTGTCCCTCCCACTTGATTTTATTCACCTGAGACGTGCGTCTCTGGAGGGTGGTGAATGATTGCTTCCTGGAGAGAAGGAGCGGAGAGAGATCGGCATACCCCAGCGGCAACGCAGCCTGCTTAAGATATGAGTTATCTCCTTGCCGTAGCCCTCTTGCTCACTTTTTCTCTGTCTTTATTGACCATGTAGGGTGACTTTGCTTCTAGCTTGGTGTTACAGATTAGATAAGGAATATTAAGTACCTAAAATTAGTACCTCGGGGATTTGTAACTCTAAGTCGACCAACTAGAGCAAAGGAAAAAAGAGGAGACAATGTAGAAATGAAAGTTAGCTGCTTAGCTGTAGAGGTACTTAAGAGCTCGCCTAATATTCTTGTCTTTGAAAATCTGTCCTCAAGGAAAATGATGCTGCACTGTGCACAACCTGTGCAAAAGTTAGCAAGCATTTGGAATGTGTTTGGCAGATTAATAATGTCGTAATTTTCCTCACCCTGTGGGTTTTTTCCTTTTTCCCCCATAAAGCGGTGTACTAGGGGCTCGTCAGGTTGTGCGTTAGATAATTGAGTTGTTATGCCAACAGGCTGTGCTGAAAGGTGTTACATCAGTGATTTCTTTTTCATCCCACTGTGCTTTGATCTCCTGCTATAAAGCAGAAGATCTAACAGTGGAAACTTTTGAAGATGATAGATGAATTTTGCTAATCCACTTTTCATAATCCGTACGAAAAATGTCTGTCCTTATCAGTCAGAAAAGATTTAATAGCTGTTGTCTCTAGAAAGTCTCATATTATCAGGATTGCAAACTATGGAATTACTGTTAAGAAATATTTTACTAGCATGTTTTGAAATGTTGTTGTAAATGCTTTAGAATAAATGAATAAAGATGCTTCTTTGTTAACCATGCTTTGTTTGTTGTATTTTCTCACTAAAATGCAAAACTAATTTGCAAGAGAGCACTGTGCAATGGTGAATATTTGCTGTCCTTATTGGTGTTAATTGCCCTGCTTTAATTTCATGTTATTGGAATTCACTGAAACAGTCAACTTAATCCAAATATACACTAATTCCAAACATTATATGGTGCTGAAACAAATGGTAAAAGTCTTGGCTCACAAGATGTAAAGCATTGTAGCTGATGGAACCCTTGCGACAGTAAGCAGTGTATAAAATACTGTTTGCAGATGTTGGGGCAATAAAATGTGGCATCTTCTAGGAAGGAGCAAGTGCCTGTGCTTGTCCCTGGCTGAAATTTACACTTATATCATCCAGATGAGCTCAGTAAAGTTACTGCAGTTGCCCAGGACTTCGTCCAGCACAACCTTGCCCAATACATCTTTAGTTAGTTGAGCTCCCCATGTCTCTGAAAAACCCTGGTTATAGAAAATTGCCAGCAATGCTTAGGATTATAAAAAGTATTCACCTGGTCTGATTATATTTTATCTCTTTTCTTTACAATAGCTTTGGGCCAGATAATGCTCTACGTCGATGGAATGAATGGAGTAATAAATCATAATGAAACCATCCAATGGCTCTACACACTTATTGGGTCAAAGGTAAGACACTCTCCAAAATTCTTATTTTATATGTTTTTGGTATTCTTTAAATACATTTTATTTGTATTACATATGCATTTAGGGTATAAACAGACTGCATGTTAGGTTCTAAATGAGTACATAATACTGCATGGAAACCAGGGCACACTGAGCTGTTTTTTTTGTTCTACTGTTTTTATACTCTTTTGTGCTGTTGGCACACACTCTGCTCTTAAAAGCAAAGATACCAAAGATGCCCTCGTTACTGTCTGTGCTGCCATTGCCGTTGACCATGGAGAAGATTTTTTTAGTCTTGCAGTTGCAGTTCCCAAGACATTCTTTGGAACCACTTTTTGGGGTGGTTTTTTTCGCCCCCTTTCCATTCTGTGAAGGCAAATCCTTTTCTACAGTTTCACCATTCTACACTGCTCAACTTTGCAGAGCACTGGGGGAAGACAATTCAGAGTGACTTCCTTCTTAGAACAGAACACAATATTTCAGTTGGAAGGGACCTAGAAACGATCATCTAGTCCAACTGCCTGACCACTTCAGGCCTGACCAAGTTAAAGCATGTCCTTAAGGGCATTGTCCAAATGCCTCTTAAACACTGACAGGCTTGGGGGCATCGACCCCCTTTCTAGGAAGCCTGTTTCAGTGTTTGACCAACCTCTCTGTAAAGAAATGCTTCCTAATGTCACGTCTTCTTGTGCCTGAAGAGCCCTAGAAGACCAAGTCTGGTACCTGCCTACAAGGAGGCAAAAGCTGAAGGCCAGAATATATGCCGCTTGGGTCGGTCTTCTCCAGTGAAGTAGCGATTTACATAGTGCACAACCCGCTTTTAAGGCCGTCTTTGTTGGAAGTCGAAAAGGAAACAGAACACAGATTCTGCTGGCACGCTGTCCTGAAGGCCTGCAGAGTAGGTAGTAAAACCACAAATACACCATTTTCCACTCTGTTGGCTCTCCAACTTTAGGAAGTTTATTAAGGCCTGCAGGGACTGCTGCTGCTCTTGCCATGTAGACCTGCTTGGGACAGGTCCATGTGATGCCAGAGCCGGAACAGCGCATGTTAGCTATTGTCAGCAACTCAAAAGTTGCTGTAATTGGTGGAGCTGAGTCCCTAGTTAGAATTACTAAGAAATTTACAGGAACTTTTCCTCAAGTGGCTGAGTCGCAGAAAGTTGCTGTTGGATCCACAGAGATGCTGCTGCTCTCCCCCTTTCCCCTGATACCTTTCATAACACCAGGAGAAAAAAAGCTTGGTGTCCCAGGGGCCTTTTTTAACCACTACAGAATTTTCTTCTAAAAAGTGCAAACTTTACTGCTGCAGCAGATTATCAAGTCAAAGAACAGACACTGCAGTATTGAAAGAACTGATTTATCTTGGGTTGATATACCTATATTGGTAGATATGTAAAAGAAAGATAATGATGGTTATGAAATCTCAGGCTTGCAGGGAGTGCTTTATGACTGGAAGAAGATGAGGAGAAACTTTTCCCCCATGTAAAATGTTCGACTGTTGTCTGAGCTTTACACTGGGCAGTTTGCCCTCTTGCAACAGAGAATGTTAGCCACGGTTGGAAAAGCGGTGCAAGACGAGAGAGAAATGATTTGCTTGGTGTAGATCCTGATTTTCAATGGAACAGCTAAAAGAGACAAGCAAAACAGGGAAAAAACTATTGCCGTGTCTGCAGTTATTTTAATTCTCTAATGCACCTAATGGGAGTGGGATGGGGGAGAAACACGACTGTATTGCTACCTTGCAGATTAAATCCTGTCTAGATTTTCTTGACCAGAGTACTTCAGCTCTCAGGTCTGTAAGCTCCTTTCTCCCTCCCCCATTGCCAGCCCAAATGATTATCTCCATGTCCTGGCTCGGTGCCTGCAGCTGAGGAATGCAGGCAATGTGCTTTGAATAGTTTGGTTTCAGGTAGCATCAAAGTTGCTTTTTCATTATTCTTTGACTGTCTTGGAAGAGATCTAAGTCCCTGTCTGCGTGCCAGAAGTTAACCGAAGGTATGGCAGGCTTACTGTCACAGTGTGGTGGAACAGCTGCTTTATGCACTTAAAGGTGTATTTGACATTCTGTGAAAAACGAACCCCTGGAATTTGCAACGCGCCTGCGGTCTAATTTGCAGCCCTGCTATGGTGGTGCCTTCTCTGCAGCAAAGGCGGTGAAAAATACATTAACACTGCTGAACAAAAAAAGGAATAGTGAAATTGCCAATTAAGTCTTGGGACAAATCCCTCTAATAGGATGCAGGAGGGATACAGTTGTTCAGCTGCCACAGCTGCGACACATGGTTTCTCACCCTCTCAAAAGCTCTGACAGGGTTTAATATACTCAGCGGTGGAGGTTGTTGAATCTTTTCCACTGATTTTTTTCTTTTTTTGGTCAAATTCTAGAATGGTTTTGACCCTTCCCTGTTATTGCGTAGGGCTGCTCACTTGGAGTAGTGTATTACTGTGTGTGTTTGTCCACCGCAGCACTCGCCTTCAGCAGCAGACCTTAGGGTCTGCACACTCAGCACTGCATCACCTCTAATTTTGGTACCCAGCTCCCAGATGACTTTATGCACCTAGCATTACTTCTGTACTGGGATAAGGGAAGGGGGTGGGAAATAAAATCTGAAATCAGTGAGAAAGAAGGACTATAAGCAATTTACTGAAAGCCTGTCTAGATTGTTGCCATTATATTCCTTACTGTTGCTAGTTGTGCTGCAGTTTTACCCCTCTGAGCATCAAGGGATGCTTCTATAGATGGATTATCGGAAGTTGCTGGTAACTTTAGTGCTGTTGTCTAAATTTGCTCTGAATAAAGTTACTAGGGAGGTGGTTAAAATTCTAACAGTGTGACTGCACTGGTGCTGCTGCCCTTATGCTGGGTATGATGCACCAGTGGTGTCAGCGTGAGGAACTGAAAAGCAGGAATAAAGTTAATCTTAGATGACTCATTTGTTAGGGGCAGAAAGACCCTTCCTTCTGTTTCAGATCGGCACTAGATTGGAAATTTGAAGTTAGCAGTACCCTTCTTCTGCCATGTTATTTAAAGAGAAGAGCATTATCAGCACATCCCAGACTCTTAGGGCCACTGCCGGTCATTTGTAAGACACATCCAGCCACGTGTGAGCACACCAGCGTGTGCCACTGGCCTTCCACAAGCTGGCTGTAGGCTGCTTTCCAGTCATCAATGGCTAATATATCCTTGGCATAAAACATTTACAGCATAATCCCAATTTAAGTGTACATTACTACTATTTCATCATTAGTTATATAGGCAGCAATTCATCAGTCCTTCCCTGTTTAACAAAGCATTCAAGTATGTACTTAATTATAGGTGTTTGGTTACATGCTATTGGCTTCCAGAGAACTTTAATACATAACTGAGGTCAGCAGCATACTGCTGTAGGAGTGCAGAAGACGGCTGTAGGAGGGCCAAGGCTCTGACCATCTTACATAAGCTAGAAGTTATGCAAATAGGGAATATGTGTGTCAATGAAGTTTTCTTTTAGCATTCGTTGGTAGCATGGAAAATTCATGCAAGATAGTTTGCTTTTTAAAAGACAAAACTAGCAGTCAATTAATGTTAGTTAACAGTGCTTTCAGAATTGCTTCAGTTTTACTTTTTTTTTTTTTTTTTTTAAGTGAGAAAACTAACCTCTCAGGGATGTTGCCTTAACTGACCACGTGCCGTAACATGTGTTTGAACCTCACAGCATCTGGGAAATGATATTTCACCGCTTTCTCGGTGTTTCCACCAGCTACACGTTGCGGCTGCTGAAGTTGGACTTAAGTTTTTGCATTATATTGCAAGTTATGTTTAGCCTGGTTGTAAAGGGACCCGAGGCATTTGTTCATGCTGGCAGCTGGCACCCCAGAGCCCTGTGGAGCTCGATGGTGGATCACCTGCAGGTAGAGTCTCGGTTTGATGGTGATGGCAAGGGCTCTTGGAAAATGTCCCTTACCCAAAACAAGGGACACCGGGTTAAAGATACACATGCACTGAGCCAGAGTAAGTCCTTATCATTATTTTTCACCTGTTAGCATGTATGAGGTAATATATATATTATCTTTCATATGCGTTGGTATTCCCTCTGACCTGGTAATAGTAAGTGTACAATACTGTGTCAGCGCCTTACCCTCTCCAGGACTAGCTACTGAGTGTTTACAAAAAGTACATTTCTGAACCAAACATCTTGGAAAAACCCCAGGGGTTTATATCGTCCACTAGAGAAGCAAACATTACTTGGCATCACAAACCCACAGGCTTTTGCCACTCCACCTCGATCTTCGAGGGCACCTCTAAGGCATTAAGTGGTCCAAAACCTGAGTCTGGTTTCACCTTTTCTTTCCCCCCATTTCTGACTGCTACTGATAATGAGTATTTTTTTCCCATTTGATGATCCAGGCTGTTCTGATTTGCCCCAGGGGAGCTAAAGCCCCTTTTTGGCATTGTTTTCAGTGGAAAGTAATCCATTTTCAATGTGGTGCTGGGTAACCTCAGAAGACAGGGTGGAATGCTGGGCCCAGGCTGATACAACGAGGTTGATTAAAGATTCCTATCTCACATCTTGTTTTAATTTTTTTTTTTCTGCTTTGTTTCTGTCTGGGTCCTAGATTGCAAGGTTAAATATGAACTTCAACTAGAAAGTTGTTCCCTGTGCCTTGGGTGAATCTTTTGCTTCCCTTGGTATTGAAGCAATGGCTTTTTGAATGTTTTAAAATGTAAGTCAATCCAAAAGAATTAAAAAATCACTATGTCAAAGCAAAAGGGAAAAAACACCATTCAAACAGCACATAGTTGTAGTGGGTGAATTTGTTGATATCAAAAGGAAAGTAATCTAGTAGGGCTGCTTTTCCTGCGTTGTGCCAGTGACGTGTTAAAACAAGCACATGGTTAGTAAGACATTTCATGAGAATTTTGAGAGAAATATTCTTAGTCACAAAAAGCACTAAAATTGCTTTTACAGGTGAATCATTTAAGGTATATAGAAGTAAATACTCAGTTTAAGCACTTGGTTA